TTCCCTGGAAGCATTTTTAAGAAAAAAATATTTAACATTTTTGGACGAAAAAAACTACCTGTCAAAAAAATTTGTACAGCCTAAAAGTCAAATTTAGTGATTATCACAGCCCCTGTGACATAAAGATGTGTCAACATGTGGCTGTCTATTTCAAAAATTAAATTGTTCAAATGTCATATAATAATGGCGGTAGCTGTCATGGAATTGAGCGATTAAAAAATTATCATAAATATTTTTTTTTTCAAATGGAAACCCACTTTTTTTATTTCACTAGTGAAAGGGTTTTCCAATTCGTTACGTTTTAACTAGACATATTCCTATACCTAAAATAAATCGTTTTTAAGTTATTAATTTTAGTTAAAACGTATATTTTTCTTGATTTTATCTAGCTTTCTTTAACATTAAGTGTCAAACAGTCAGACAATTTATTTCCATCTGCTTAAAAGTTTAAAAAGTGTATTTATATAAATAAATACTAACTTAAAAACGATTTATTTTAGGTACAGGAACAAGTATAGTCAAAAAGTAACAAATTTTAAAAACGAAAGTAACGAAAGCCTTTTCAGGAGTGGAATAAAAAAAGTTGATTTCCATTTGAAAAAAAAATGATTTATGATAATTTTTTAATCGCTCAATTCCATGACAGCTGCGGCCATTATTATATGACATTCGGACAATTTAATTTTTGAAATAGATAGCCACATGTCTTCTCTTTATGGTACAGTGGCTGTGGCAATCACTAAATTTGACGTTTAGGCTATATACATATTTTCGGCAGGCAGTTTTTTCCTCCAAAAATTATAAATATTTTTTTTTCTCAAAAATGGTTAACGTTAGGTATAGAGAAATATCAAAATTCATAAAATTTTACAGAGAATTTAAGTATGTAATAAAAATGGGGTCACCGATTTAAAATAAGAAAGTTGCTGTCAACTTCCGGTACTTCCGAAAGTGCCGCCATATTGAAAATATTTTTAATCGATAGATCTCATTGTGAAACAATGATATGCATAAAATCTCGTATCTAGATATTGTAGTTTTCTAGAAACTTTTAACGCTAATAATTTAATAATACTTGAATTTTGTCAACCATTATACATACGTCACTCAATTTTTACAAAATGTGCATTAGAAGTATATCATTATCTAAATAGACCGGGGCCACATTTAGCTTCGCCGCCCCGGGCCCCCGACAGGCTTAGTCCGCCACTGCTACTTGTATAGAAGGCGCCAGCTAAATATTTTTAATTGGTTTGAAGGGTAATAACTTTTTAATTTTTTGGTCCGGACCTGTATAAAACAACTGAGTAGAAAATATACATTTACCCCGTTTTTTTACCTAAAAAGGCCCCTTGGTAAAAATCGCTACAAGCAATGGTTCTAGAGATATATGGAATCGAAATTATCAATACCTCTCATCATTGACATCAATTAAAGATGTTGACTAAATAGTTACTAGACTGAAATTATAAATTTGAGACGTTTTTGTGCCAAAAGTTTAAAAGGAACTGTTTTATCATCATTTTTTGGAAGAAAAATTTATAATTAATTAAAAAAAATTGTCAGTAATGACATGTATTGACTATTTCCGTTCTAAATATCTTGAGATCTTTGAGAACAATTTTTACCAAGAGACATTTTTTACGTAAAAAATCACGAAAATGTACATTTTTTCACTCAGTAGTTTTGTACAGGTACGATCGAAAAGTTATTAATCTTCAAAACAGTTAAAACAAATGTAGGTGGCGTGGCGTCCCCTACAATTGGGAGTCATATTCACATAAAAATCAAATTTCTCATGCCAAAAAACTCCCACACGCCAATTTTCATCCAAATATTGACCATACTTTATTATTAAAAAAATTATTTGGAAAAAATCGAAATAAAAATGGAACTTCTACACCCTGTATCTTCGAAACTAAGCAATTTAGGACATATATTTATACGAAGTTTTTTACTAATTTTTATCTGCACCAATAGTTGCCGAAGTTTTCGGAATATAATTCGGACCACCCTGTATTTTATTTGAACAATTGATACATATTAAATTTGTCCAAAATATTTAAAAAAAAATTGTATAACTGTCTATGATAATATCAATTTTTTTCGGTGAACGGATTTCGCTTGGCCATGATGTGAAAAATTACATGATCTGAAGTATAGCAGTTTATCAAACATGACATCTCTCCTAGCAGTAACGATCACTTGCTTCGTTCAAGAGATTTGTTGGCATCTGTACGCGTATTTTTTCGCTGCTATTCACACACCGACCTCAAATTTGAACGGACAAGGTCGAGGCGGCGTAAACTTGAAAGGCCGAGCGAACCGAACGAGCTTCATTTACGTATGTACGTAAATTCGATATTAGTAGGTCAGTGGGGGAGTAGGCTTTTTTTGCGTGCGGATTTAACTAATAAAGATTTATTGAAGAAGATACTACGGAAATCAGTAGGTATATTAAAGTAGCAGTGGATATATGGCAATAGACTGTAGAGACGACCAGTGGATATATCACAATCACTGGAATAACAAAGGATTGAAAATAGATGGACAATATCTTAACCATCTACAATTCGCTGATGACATAGTCCTAATTACCAATAGTAATGAAGAACTACAAGCACACATTAACAAACTAAATACAGCCAGCAATCAAGTAGATCTCAAAATTAATTTAGCAAAAACTAAAGTAATGTATGAACTAGTAGACAGAAAAAACAACAACTCTACTACTAGAAATCAATAGAAGAATAAAGTTAATGAAGTACATATTATGGAAGATACTCAGTCATATTCAAATCTATAATGCCACTTTACTTAAAGTAGAAAACATTCGACCAATGTGTACTACTGGTCATGACTTATGCATGTTGTTTATGGACATTATAAGGAAACTGCAGGTCGCACAATGCTCGATGGGACGAAATATGCTGGCAATAACCAAGGTTATTAAAAGGAAGGTTGTCTCGTAACTTTTGGACCAATAGGAGCGAAGCGGAATAGCATCCCTCTGACGTAGTTAGAACGTATAAAATCATAGAATAAAAGGAATAGAAAATAAAATGCAACCGACAAAGAGAGATAAATGGACAATACAATAAAGAAAAGACACATCAAACAACTGAAAACTATTGACGCCATACACTATAAACAATAAAGTAGACAATGAATATCGATTCGGAAATGCACTGTCGGACTGTGGGCAGTTTTTATCCCTTTATCTATGAGCGGTATCATTCCTATGACGTAGTAGATGACGTTTTCGATAATGGCGGATCGAGTTACGAGACAACCTTATCTTTTAATAACCTTGGGCAATAACCAAGGAAGACCGTAAAAAATAGAGTGGATACGATAGAAAACCCAAGTAATATATTATGTCATCCACCGAATCAATATCTCAAGTGGCAATGTGCAAGACACCTGGCAAGAAAGACGGACAATAGATAGACCACCACAAAAATTACAACATGGTACCCACGACAAATTAAGAGACCTAGAAGAAGACCAAACCTGATAGAGAACCATGATATTAGGAAATTAGCATTGATAACTTGGGCCCGCATAGCTAACTATAGACAACAATGGGCCCAATTTGAAAGATATTATTTAAATATGTGAGGAAGGCTACACTATAATTGGAAATGGTTGAATAAGCTGAAGATAGGGACGATTTAAAATAACTATCCAGTGTCCGGATAAAACTTAAACAAGATAGTTTCCAGTTGTAAATCAATTTCTAGATTTTGCACAGTCAAGAAACGTAGCAGAGTATTTCACTGGAAATGAGAAGACGCTTTGAAATGACAAAACGGACAACAAAGTGTTTAGAAAAAGCCTGGAAAAACAGTACCTTCGCTTTAAATGCCAAAACCCCAATTCCATTCATGTCCGCCCAAGGATGCCTGACGGTGATAGTTGTGACTGTCATTTATATCACAGACACATTTTAAAACAGAAACAAGATAAATATGAAACAAATCAAAGACATTTGTGCCATATTTTTGTCTTTTTTTGTTCTTTTTCCAGATATCAAGTCTAGTCACGAGTCGATAAAGATTTTGTGTTCAAAATCGTATTTTCTGCCATATTTTAGATGTCGTCTGTCGAAATAATTCCTGAGTCGTTAGACAGTCGTGGATCATCAAGATGCACGTTGAGCTTAAAGTTAAAATTAATATGTAATGATTTTTTGATGGCATTTAGAGCCCTTTATCGACTGAGGCAGACAGCCTGGTTTGTCCCCATTCCTTAATAAGATCAAATATACTAAATCCATTGTCTGAAGGCTAGAATTACAGATTAGAGTATGGGTACCTCTATTAGCGTAGCTATATATATCTGTCCTAGAATGGATTCCTTTGCTCGCCCTTTTGATCAAAAACAAGGACATGTTGAATTAGCATATTATATAACCCAGGTTCATACCGTATGATCGAACAAAAGCGGCGTCAGCGATGGCTATGAAATGAAGATCGCTGTCATTTTATGTGTAAAATTATGGAAAATGTCATCGATCGTTATTTCCAAGTCAACTGGATGCCGTTTTTTTCGATCATACGGTATAATCTAGGTTAACCTATAAGTAAACTGTGTACTTATATTTCAAGATTGAAGATTGATTTCATAATTTACGTTTATTTTTTGTCTACAAAACGTTTAATACCGAACGCAAATAGACCATTTATTATTTTTAGGAAAGGCTATTTTAAGACCATTCTTTTAGTCATGAGCGAGCGTGTTTTCATTCCGATTATTCCGTTTGAAATCAGATGCAACGCGACAAACCAATTTGGACGGGCGCGTAACCCGAGCGCGCCGTCCGACGTGCTGCCGCTGTACGCACCCCTACGCACCCGACCCATCCAACTCAATCGATGCTCGTCTCTCCGCTGCTCCCGCGAGTTCAAGGCACCCGTTCAAGGACAAGGCCAGACGCTCCGACCGCCGCCTCGGTCGCGCATTCGGTCCCGCGTTCGCCCGCGATCCGCACGCAGCCACCAGCAGCAGCACCACGAGAGCGTCGGTCGCCCCAACCAACCCCACGCAACGCACCCCCGAAGGGCGCACGCGTACTCACCCCCGGAGCGCTCCGGACGCTCACCCGACGTCGCCGTCGCCGCCGGTTTCACTTTCATTCTTCGGTTCGCGCGCGAACCAGTTCACATCTTGTGCGAGCCGCCCGTCGAGTCGCCGCCGGCACTTTCAGTTTCGGAACTCTCGACCATGACGGTCCAAAACTGACCATCTCATCTTCGTCGTTGGTGATTTAGTGCCGGTCTCTATACACCGAAATTCGTCCAAGAGACGTGTCAACAGATAATGATTATGATTAACTAGATAACCGCTGTTTAGAGGGAACATCTTCGATATTGGCTAATTTAATTCTGGAATACAAAGCTTCTTTGATGACCTTACAATCTGAATTGTACGAAGCAGAATCATTGTCCTGATACACTTACACTTAGATAAGAATATAAGGTTTGATAACCTATTTGAGATAGTTGTAAAGAGCTTCAGAATTGAAAGAACGTCTCTCGAATAACAACAAGTAAGTTGTAGAAGTAGAACTTTGAATCTTTTGAATGAAACATATCTGTTATTCAAATAGAAAAACATACTCCTCAAGGTAGATCCGCAGCTTCAGAAAACGAACATATATTACTTTCGTTAATTCGTCTAATAACCAATACACTTTCTGAGTAAATAGAAAATTCAGGTTCTTGTCAGTTTGACGCTTTTAATTAAAGCTGTTAAGAACTGAAGCAGAACGATATACGTATTTAGATACTGTTTGAACGAGGAAGTCGAGAAAACAACTACATAACTTCAGAAATAAAATCATAATTACTATTATCACTGTAACTAAGCTGTAGGACGTAGAATTTTGGATATTTTGAATTAGACATATCTACCCTTGAAGCAAAAGAAAACGAACTTATTTGGTCCTATTAATAACATCAGCACTGCCATATTGAAAAGTGCCATACTGAGGAATCCTACCACGGAAGAACTATAATTGATACGTACTCTCTATGAAAATACTGTAATAGTTTTATCAAACTAATTTTTCATTGTATTTACTTTACTTTTACTCCAAGCAACGCCAGTAAATAATTATCACCATAACTGTAAATAGAAACGTTATTCATTAGGAAAAGACCTTGCGAATTAATCTGGCATTGGTACGTGCATCTTATCTGCTAAATTCAAGATCGAAACTTATCAGACAATTAACAAAACTTTTTGTATTCCTGTGTAACTGTAGTGCTTGAGATTTTTGTTCCTCGCTCGTGCAATAATATATGCTTTAATATCTAGGAACTCTGTAATTATATTACGATAGGAAGTAAGGTCCGTAGATCTGTCACCGCCAGCCACTTACTTAGGGTGACCAGTTAAGTACGCAAACAGTTTTTTTCGGCCAGAAAAAAATTGCAACCAGCTAATCACAATGCAAACCTCGACGATCATCTTCAAAACGGACGCGACGGAGTTTCGTATCCCTTCGGGCGCGATCGTGTCCTCTTCGACGTCATCGCCGACGACGACATCGATGCGGCCGCCGCCGCCTCCGCCGCCCCCAAAGGTCAAACTTGCCGCCGAATGCAAACTGGAGGAACCCACTAGCTCCATTCCAGATCTAGGTGAGTGGTCCCTTCAATATGTACCAAAGTTCTTCTTTTAGTTCCCATAGGTTTTCACGGGGGGTAAACTGCTGGTGTATTTTGGTGTACAAGATGTTGGCATTACTTGGGATTAGTGGTATTACTCGAAAATTTTGGTATTTAATCTGCATTTTTGGAATTAGTGTACAGAAATTCGTCAGCAGTTTATCCCTCGGGTTTTCATAAAGAAAACAATGATGTTACATCAATTTTGGAGAGTAAAGTGTGTATGCTATCGGTTGCTAGATATTATTATGTTTTATGATCATTTTGGTTGCTTCAATTTGTATCAAATATGGTTTATTTTAATTGGTTATTGATAAAAATCTAATGTTAAGTCATTTGCAGACACTGAAATAAAATACTTTATTGCCTATTAGCCTATTACAGTTGGGGGTTTGAGCCTTTGGTGTTACAACAGCAAAATAGAGCACCACCAAAACACTTTACTTTTAACACTGGACACTAGATCATTAAAACTGTTTTAATCATTGGATCATTAAAACTGTTTTAATCTGCTGATGATGCTAATATGATTAGCAAAACGCATGTCTAGAGGTAAAAGTAAAGTGTTTTGGTGTATTGTTGTCAATTAGTGTTTTATTTTCTTATCTTATTTTGCCTTTATCGCCTGTTATACTAGGTGCATCTCAAACGTGGCTCACCCCTATAACTTTTTTATTTTTTCAGACAAAAAACGAGATTTGGTATATAAGTATATGATAGATAGGACTGACTGACCCATTCAAAATGTTTTTGGTCACTTCCTGTTTCACCGGAAATTACTTCAACTTTTGATTTTTAAATGGTACCCTCGGTATATTTTGAGTTTATTCGATAGACAATGACACTCTGAATAGAATGACATATCATATGTCAACTTTTGACTTTTTATATATGACTTATTTAAAATTCTAATATTTCGGTAATAACGACAATATGACTCGATATATCAAGTGTGTGGTACCAAATTATTCGTAAAAAATGCTTTTTCCATATGCTAATGAGCCAGCCCTGTTCCATTTGAAAAAAATTGAGATATGATTGAAAAACCATTTGGGCATCTTTTAACCGGCCATGACAAGACACAAAAAAAATAGACAATCAAAACTATTTCTCTAAGGCTCCTTGATTAAAAATTAGTGTTTTTAACACAGACGATGTTTTTTAAAGCGTAAAATGTCATTCTATTCAGAGTGTCATTTTCTATCGAATAAAGTAAAAAAAAATACCGAGGGTGCCATTTAAAAATCAAAAGTTGTAGTCATTTCCGGTGAAACATGAAGTGACCAAAAACAATTGAATACCACAATCAATCCTAATTTATAATTTATGTCGTATTCTAACATACTAAATCTCGTTTTTTTATCTGAAAAAATAAAACATGTTATAGGAGTGAGCCACTTTCGAGACGCACCCGGTATATTATTATTGATTTTTATATTGGAATAGTATCGATTATTTTCAAAGTCGTTGTAGAGCGTTCAACCATAGTGTTCAACGTTCTACATACACATCTTTGGGAACTACTTCAATTGAGAGCAATTAGAAGTCTGAAAACCTTGGTTTCGGTATAGGTACCCACAATTTTACAATTCTGTTTCTAAAGTAAAGACCTTTAATAAGGAATATTATCGAGACGGGTTACTCTGCATGGAAAATGAAGAAAAAATATAAATAATTTTGTTTTTCAAATCTCAGAGAAACGGTAAGGACTATGTTTCAATAAAAGTTGTCTCGTAGCTTCTAGCCAGACCATTTTTATGTAAAATTGATGGTGATAATTTTATTTATTTATTTCTCGGGGATTAATTTTAAATAATCTTATATCAAAAATTCAAGTTTTTACCAAAACTTTGTATATGGAGGCCTATTTTCTTGGACTATTAACAATATCACAAGATCTAACATTATTCTACATTATTAAAAAGGCAATATTCTAAAATGCAATTGAATTTGTAAATAATTACGAGTTAAATAATTACGGACATGAATTATAAAACAAACGTGAACAAAAATTTTGAAAATATCTTTCTCAAATTTCAAATATTATACCTCTTACTTGTAATTGCGCTCTCACGTGTGGAATTAATTTATATGTATAATAGTGACAGAATTACTCAGAATAGATAATGCATTTATAAAATGCAAGTAAATTTGTTATCAGTTTTCGAAACACCAAATATTTATCAAGTGAAACCTACATTTATATCCTATATATTCACTAAACCTGGTGGCACGTTGTTCAGCAGTGATATTTTAGATTAAACAACAAATACATTATTGAATTTTGTACATGTATGATAATGTCAATCTAATATTGTTAATAAAAATAAACGTATTGAAAAACTAATATACAATGTGTTGAACGGGGACAAAACACATTGGACTAAAATTGAAAACTTGATTTTTAGCTCAATTGGATTGGGAATGGCTAAGTTCAATGAAAGTATTCCTGTAGAAAGATAAAGACCGTCTGCTGACCTAAAATAGGTCAATTTATTTTTAGACACTTGTCTAAGGTTTCTTATTTGGTTTTAATCGGTATTTAGTATGTTAATTTTTGGAGTTTACCATATTGTTACACGTATTTTATCCTTGGTTAGAAGTACACACTATCATTTAATTTATGAATATTAAAAGAATAGTTGTCTCATGAAACATTTGTTATCGTTCTGACCACTGACCTTCTAAGAAACAATAACTGGATTTCTTTGCTTTTTCCTCATTTCACAACAACATAATAATATTTATATGTGTAGGTTAATAATAGGAAAAGTAATTGACTCGTTGAAAAACAACAGTCGATAGTGCATAATGTACCTACCTCTTGTTGACATGAATGGCAAATTGTTCATTCTATTTTTATTATTCTTATTATATATTTGTTGTATTTATATAATTTAGTAGTAAAAGGTATGTAATTTAATAATATGCATGTTTATTTATGTAAAAGATTCAGAAAAGATGACTAGGATATAGTATCATTATAAACCAAATTGGCACCATGATTGTTATGTTAGCTGTGATACTACCGGATAAGATTTTGTATTTGATGAGTTTGTAGATGAGTATAACGTGTTGTATAAATACGCGATTAAACAAGCCATGAAATTTATTTTCGATCCGACATTGTTCTATTTTGTTGCCTGTTTGCTATCTGTTCTTGCAATTGAAATATTATGCAAGGACTCCATTGAGATAAGCAACAGGCAATCAATTAGAGCAATGTCAAACCAAATATGCAATATCATTGCCCACTTATTTATATGTATTTATAAGAATAATATTTTTAAAATTCGACCTTTTCTACAGTTTCTCAATTCAATTTCACCCTCGTACTTAATCTCTTTATTCATCAAAACAGAGACAGGCGAAATCATAGTTTGTTCATACACGGTGACAATTTGAAAACGAACACAGTATTTAATATTGCCTCTACCGATGATAGTATGAAAATTTGGCGAGAAACACGTCAATTTACATATCAAGAGGGACAATTTTTGAGGCATTTGTTGTCGTGTTACTTGCAACCCCTTGACCCCCAGGGCACCTACCCCTAAAATTTTAAATAGCAACCCCTATTTCTTTTACCATTTTTGTGTTTCTTATCGAATTCTATATAAACTGCATTATTTTTTTGAGAATTTTATAAGGAACACAAAAATGGTAAAAAGAAATAGGGGTTGCCTTTTAAAATTTTAGGGGTAGGTGCCCTGGGGGTCAAAGGGTTGAAAGTAACACGGCAACAAATGCCTCAAAAATTGTCCCCCTTGATATGTAAATTGTCGTATTTTGCCAAATTTTCATACTATCATCGGTAGAGGTAATATTAAATACTGTTCATTTTCAAATTGTCACCCTGTATACTCGTTTCACCGTGTCGAATGGTATGTCCCCAAGGTCTGCTAGAGCTTGGGGACAAACAATTTAAACTTGATTGTATTTCAGGCTGAACAAGTACATATAATATGCTCCATGGTTTTTTCTTTTTTCACATCATCGTCATTCATCAGTTCCATTTTCTGAAGAATATGTGATATCAGTTTGTAATGTTTTCAACTGTCAGGACAAGACACGAAAAACATTAGACGACCAAAACTATTTTTCCAAGGCTCCTTGATTAAAAATTAATGTTTTTAACACAGCCATGGCACTATAAATTGAAATTTAAAATACAATTTTTCTTAAAGCCAAAAAGTCAAAAGTTGACGTATAATATGTCATTCTATTCAGAGTGTCATTATCTATCGAATAAAGTAGAAATATACTAAGAAACTACATTTAAAAATCAAAAGTTGTAGTTATTTTCGGTAAAACAGGAAGTGACCAAAACCAATTGAATACCGACATCAATCAATCATCAATCCTAATTTATGTCATATACTAACATACCAAATCTCGTTTTTTTATTTGAATAAATAAAAAAGTTATAGAGGTGAGCCACTTTCGAGACGCACCCGGTATACCCATTTTCTGCTTGTGTTTAGAGTTCTTTGATTCTGAGTTTGTAGGTCAAACTACAAACTACTGGTATTTAGTCTCGATATTTTTAAAATTAATTAATTTAATAATATTTTTAAGTTTATTCGTATTTTTATTAATATGTAACAAATTGTTTTTCGGTGTTTTCATAATTATATACATATTTTGAATTAAAATTAATTAAATAAAAAACTATTATTGATAAAATATCTATCTAATAATAATTTGAGATAAGGTATCTAACGAAATAAAATGTATTTGTTATTGCTGATAAAATGTGTATATTTTGTATATCTGAGCATAAACTAAAAATATTCAGCTATTCAAACACTTTTCAAAATGAAACATATATATTCCGGCGAATGCTAAAAAATATCTGTCTGACGTGGAACGCTGATGTTCGATTTAAACACAAAAACATATAAACTGAGTTAGTAGGCAACAAAAATAACACCGATCAAGGTCTAGGTCATAACCTTGCCGAAAATCCTTGT